TATTTGCCAAATGATTTGTCCCAACTGTTGAGGGGGGGTGGTTGCAATTAAGATGTTCTCAGTTAAATAGGAAGTAAGCGTAAAGGACAACAATTCATTCTTGGAGTTTATCTTTGTGTTCGTGAAAATGTGCTTTTTTTGTGTGTGTGTGGGGTTTTTTTTGTTGTTTTGTTTTTGTGTTTTTTTGGGGGGGGTTTTCTCTCTCCTCTTTACCCCATATGTGTATTTGAACAGGTATATAATGACTTTAATATATTCTTTTGGGTTTTTTTCTTTTCTTTTTTGTTTGCTTGTTATGTTTTATGCTTTTCTTGATAATGAATAAAAACTGTTTAAGCAAAAAAAAAAAGAAAAGGAAAAACTGTGAAATGTAGCGTTTAGAGGAGTCAAAAGCTTGAGCCATTAGCTCACCCAGACTTCTTATTTACACATATACCCTGACCTCATTATTGGAAATTTAACTACTTACAATTTACATGTTATGCGATTTCTCCGAGCCTATATTCTTGCATTGTAAAGTCTTTTTGCTACATGCCCTTACACATTCATTTTGTTTGCATTGACTAGAGCATGTCTGCAGCCTCTTATAGGTTAATAATAACAGGCAGCTAATGTCAGTCAGAGAAGAGAGATGATACCTGTCTGACGCAGACATCAGCAGCACTCGGTGTGCAAAGAATGGGCGCCCGTCCACCATGAATGTCACGTCTGACATCTCTTTGTTGTTCAGAAAATGAGTATCTGGGCAGAGACAAGCATGTAATCCTTCATAAGTTGGTCAAATGTAACACGTTAAACATTGACACTGGCAGGAGGGGAGTGTTACCCAGCTGTGTGGACAGAGTGACGTCCAAAGGTGGGACCGGAGGAACGGGAGACGAGCCGTAGCAGAGAGAAAAGACAGTCGCCAGACGCTTTGTTACCACGTAGTCCTACAGAGAATGAAACAGGAGATCATCGTAGCACTGACCTCTGCACGTTCAGCAGCACACATCCACACACAGTCCTTTATATATGCTGTATTATATAAGCATATATATGATGATCCAAACTCTGACTCCTCCAGTGGTGAAGCATCTGCGGGAAACATAATAAATTTTCCCCGAAGCATCCATCAGCATGTGAGTATGACACGGATGGATGTGTGAACGTGGCTCACACTAATGCCACTGCTGAGTGCTGTGATGAACTTTACTGAGAAATTACCAAAGAACAAACAAGTAAATAAATGAGAAAATATTTTTATAATATGGTGTCATAGTTTGAACAGGTTTGAATTTCAGAATAGTCCCCAGTGCAGGTATAAATGTCCCTTTTCAAAAGTGTGGGAGTGGTCGGGAACCACGCTTCGTCACGTTCTGCAGCAGTATCATTGTGACACACAGTTTGTCTTTCATGCATGGGAGCAAAAAACCAACTGAACTTCATAGAGCTAGTAGATGTTTGTTGCACTGGGCACAGAGTGTGAAACCACTCTCTTAAATCTGTTTAACAATAAAAATGTACCGTTGCTATTTTTCAAGACAGGTCAGGAATCATCATTTCTGTTTCTTTTGTTTCGCTGCTCTGCCTCAAACCCTTCATCTGCATTTCCATGAAATTATGGAAAGACAGGAAAATCCACATAATCAGAGATGCAGAGGTGCTGAGTTGTACCTTGGTGGTCTCCAACATGCTGAACATGAGCGGGATGCCCGTGGAGAGAAGCCCGGGGCTGTAGTCCTCCGTCCTGATAGAGGTGAACTCTGTGAGGAGGGAGATGATGACATCGTCCCTACACAGCTGTTGGGCTCTGAGCAGAGACTCTAACCAGATGTGCAGCCTCCAGGGGACACCTGGAGAGATCAGCGAGAGGGAACCAGGGAACGAGTTTGAGGTCTTTGTGCAGTTGGAGCCAGAAGCAACAAGCTGTTAAACTACTCTGTTTTTCCCCACCGCTCTCTGGATCGCTGCTCATCAAAGCCAAAGGAAATAGGAAGCTGCAGGCAGCTGATTGCAAATGTTCCTTTTATAAAGACGCTTTCAATGCAATATATGGAAAACCACCAAGTTTCCTGGCATCATACAAAGTTTGGATTTTGAATTTTGTTAGTTCATTCAGTTTATTTCACTTTCATTTGTTGAAGCACACAAATACAAAGAGA